CTCGTTCACCCCAAAGAAAAAAAACAACAGAATAAACAAAAGGCAACATAGATTTACATACATGCGCAACGCTTATGCGCACAATTATTTCGTTCTTCGCGAGATAAACTTTAGATGAACATCGAAGCAAATGAGAATTCACCTTTCCGCTGTAAGCAACCGCATGCGGGTTTCAAAGTTATTTGTTTATAAAGATAACATAGAACAAACGATACAAATCATGCGTATATCATAGAGCTATTTACCCATTTATTCATTGATAATGTATTTTTTGTTTTTAGCCTTTTCATTCATTTGCTCACATTTGCCAAAAATAGCTTTTTGATTAAAACCATAAACGAATCATCTAATCGAACCATCTCATTACTAACAAACACCAATCTTGATTAACCGAGACCCATTTTTGCTAACCTAAACAAAAGATGAAAACTTTGAATATTTTATCTACAACATCGATATATATTTTTAGTGTGTGTGGCTGAATCTCATTGGTGTGTGCGTGTACAGTAGTATATACAGGCAAAAATACGATTCGAGTCGAATGCAATCCATTTATGGACAGAAAATAGACATTCGAAAGAGATTTTAGAAACGTGTGAAATAATGAATAAAAGATAACACGTTGACTTTATCTCCCCAAAAAATACCACGCGGCAATAAAGAACCACTTTTCTTCATGCATAATATTTATTTACGCTCGGTGAAAAACTTTGATAGGTTTATCGTGTCGCTATTGGGTTTGCATTGCCCATTGTATACGAATAAGGAATATTTCTTGATATCCTTTTTTTTTATTTTTTTCCCCTTCTTTTTAGGAAATTCATTGTCGTCATTATTATTTCTATAAACAAAGCATAACGTTTTACATTCTTTTTAATGGATCGTGAAAACTAATGATTTGATTGATGGCAAGGTTTAAACTAGATTGAATCTTAAGAGGATGATGACGCAAATTGACCTACTTAGAACGAAATTTTTGCGACATCACTTAATTGCCAATTATTTATTTATTTTTTTTTTTTCCTTTATGCGTACATCTTAAAGAAAAGAGGAATAAAAATCCTTTACATAGTATAGAATAAACTACAGGGAGAATACAATAGAAAAAAAACGAAACATCAATTATATATGTATATATATAATTTTCATCGAACCAGTCCGAGGAAAATCATTTCACTCCGTTTCACTAAACTAAACCAATGTCCTCATTAAGTTAAAGAAAAAATGCATATAATTGTTCTTGCGTGTGTATGAATTAGAAGAAATAAAAAATTCAATCCTAAAAAAAAATTGTTGCCTATAACTATATTATAAATGCATGCATGTGTGTGAATGTGAATGTATCTATATGTATGAAATGAATTATTGTTAATGTTTTAACTTGGGTATGAAAAAGTCTGATGATTGTTCTTATTGTACATTTTTTGGTTTGGGGTGTCAAAAAAAAGGGGGGGGGGGATGTGATGTGAGAAAGGGAATTGTTTTTGTAAGAGAGTGACTTTAAAGTTAAGTTTTAACATAAAAGGGTCATTATAAAGCGTCTGGTGTCCACCAATATAACAAGTAATAGAGATCATGAGATGCATCGTCGTCATTTATTACCATTTTTATTTCCGGATATTGCGAGAAACGTGCGTACATGGAATGCTCGTTAATGTCATCAGGATCGTCGTTGTCTTCGGTTAAGAATGAATGATTCTTTCCAGCACATTTTGGTTATCCAGAAGTAAAGTATTAAACAGTCATTTCTTATCGTACTTATTGTTATTATTATTAGACGAGGGTCATGAAGTAGTGGCGACTAATAATTCTGTTGTAGATGATGAAGCTGAGGGGGACGATGATGGCGATGATGGCGACGATGCGGATATAAGTTCTCCCGGATTCTTGATTTCTACTACTTCACCGATCGCTTTTTCTATCGCGGTCTTTAATTCATTCAAGTGGATCGGTTTTGCGACACAACCATTCTAAGAATCGAGGGAAAAAAAATAAATAGATTAGATTATATTTCCCATATTTGTTTGTTAGACATATACATGTGTGTGTGTGTGTACGTGAGTGAATGCGTAGAAATTGTATAGGATTTTCATTTTGATATTGTGTCGATTGATCTCCGTATATAGTTGCACCCGCAGTTAATTAATTAGATTTGTTCTTTTTTTCCTTGTGAAACAAATCAATGTTCTATGGGGTGAAAGTTTGAACAGCTGACCGAGAAATTTCTATAGCCGATGGAACGGATGTGCATATTTGATTGCCAGATATAGTTGCCAAGCAAAATGTGTTGGTCGGAAGATCGGAGGAGATGTGTAACATGATTGTCGTTTTTCGATATCAGAGAAAGAGTGAAGCGCAGTATCATCTCAGGAAAAAACGCGCGAAAAATTTCACACACACGCACAATCACATTTACACGCATACATATACATATGTGTATGTGACTATATATTCGGAAAAACGCGTCGAGAAAACGAATACATACCATACCAGCCTCTGTATACTTTTTGCGTTCATCCTCGAGAGTATTAGTTGTGACGGCGATAATTGGTATTTTTCGATTACTCTCTAATATCTTATATTTACTATCGACACTTCGTATCTCTATTGTCGTCTCTACCCCGCTTAAGACCGGCATCTCAATGTCAATTAATATCAGATCATATTCATCTCTCGATAACGAGTCCAATGCCGATACACCGCTGCTCAACGTTGAAGTTGCTTGTATTAAATGGCCAAAGTGTTTTGCTAATATCCTTGTTAATATCTTCAGATTTATGTCATTATCGTCGACTATGAGAACCTTGAGCGGTTTTGAAGCAAACTGGGAAGAGGAAGAAGAAAGTTGAGGCGATTCGGACACCATTATTGATATTATGGGCGAAGAGTTTGTTGGTGTTGGTGTTGTAATGAAGCTTGAGTGATGAATTGTTGCCACGTTTGAAGTGACGACGTTGAATTTCGAGTTACCAACGGAAACTTGTGGTAAGCAAGCAGGGCTAACAAGCATTTAAGAAACTATTGAGTGGGAATAATTTTCTTTTGTGTTGGGTGTTTTTTTTTCGCAGTATATAAATGGAGAATTTGCTCCGTTGTTGGTATTATTATAATAATTAAAGGTTTATTCAAGATTCTTTTGTCGTCTTTTTATGAGTCGCTGTGGTCTTTTTATGGTTGTCAGTTGATATTATTGTTGTTTTTGTTTTTGTTTGGTTTGGTTTTATTCTGAGTATG